GTTGTTAATGCACTTTTCAAACATCTTCAGGAACAGACCTTGACCCAAAAGATTCAGCCCCCGAAAACTTAAGGCATATTCCTCAATGGGGGAGTCTACTTGAAGTCCTTAATTCAGGAATAGAGGCCGCGAAGACTTAAGGCATACTCCTTAACTGGGTCCTCGGCAGCACGATGGATGGCAGCTGTTGTGGTGGAGATCTGGCCTTCGAGCGCCTGGGTCTTCAGGGCTTAGACGGCCTATGAAGTTTATACCTATAGTCTCCATTGTAGTTCCTTTACTTGGTTTAACCGGTTCTATATTTTGGATCCTAGAAGGTAACCCCCAAAAGGAACTACAATGGAGACTCCGGGTTTGTCGGCCTTCTGGGGCTGAAAGGAAGGGCTTAAAGGGGTTTGCAGGATTTAGATGGGTTCTTTCGGCCTTATAGGGCTTTACAGGGCTTTGTAGGGTTTGATAGGGTTTCATAATAGGGTTTTATAGGGTTTTGGGATTCAGGGTTTATGGTTCTGCATCTCTTCCATCAGCGGCTGGGATCGTGTACTGCGGCCGGAACCCTGGATTGCGATATTTTCCTTTGGATAGCATTTTTCCTAAGGAGTGGGATCCTAATCTATCCTATAACAAGACAGCGCCGTAACGACACAGGAGCTACATGCTTTAGGGCTTCGGGGCTTAGGGTTGAAACTAAAAGTTTACGCAGGAGTTGTAGCTGTTTTGGTTTAGAGGTTTAGAGGCCGAGGGAGTTTCGGGGCTCCAGGGTCTCATGGCTGGGTGTGTGGGATTGAGGTCATAAGGTTAGTATAGCTGCATAGCTTATATAGTATAGTATCGTATCGTATCGTATAGTATAGTATAGTATGATGTAACCGTTATGAACAGGATATAAGTAGGACAAGATGAGATAAGCTGAGATAATCATCTGAGATAAGAAGCCACATAGGAATAGTAGACTACTATTGCTATAGACACGTAGCATGGTTCAACGCACTGGAGTTGTTCTTCCCAACTGGCTCTGCCATCATCTTGACCGTGCCTGCGAAGCGGTCGTCGACGAGACCGCTCTGGAGCAGATTGGGAACAACGCAGGGAGCCCAATACCCCTTAGTTAAGGAATATACCTTCAATCATAGGGGCCTTACTATGATGGTTTAGGGTTATATTCCGCAATTAAGGGGTATTGGGCTCTCTGGGAACAACAACAACAATCGTCTGCTGTCAATCAAGAGGTGGGCCCGGCTTGCGCTTTCAATCCAACTGGGGCCACCTCGTTCCCACCGGACCACATCATCGTCGGGCTGCAACAATACACGTCTCCATGACGGCTCTCCATCCATGAACCATCTTAGAGTTTCGGGTTTAGGGCTTGCTGTTTTTAGGGTTTAGGGTTTCGGGCTTAGGGCTTGGGGTTTCGGGTCTAGGAACCTGCTCGCTCTCAGGCACAAGAGACCGCCTAAGTCTAAGTTGAGTCGTAATAACAGGGACGTCACATGATGGGTGTACTATCGCATGCTTGGGCAAGATGCACAAATTGAGATGACGTAAGCTACCTGCTAATTGAATTTGCTGTGGCAGCAGGCCGTGGAATCTTAGAAGCACGGGGCAAAAACAACAACTGCAGTCCGAATTGACCTGAAGCCACTGACAATCTGCACGCCCTTCAAAGCTCAAACAGCCTAAACTCCTACAACCATCTGAACCCCAAGCCTCAAAATACCAAAACCCAAAATCCTATAAATCCTAAACGCCAAAGCCCTAATCACCAATCCGCCCCGAAAGCCTAAACCCCCAAACCTAAACCTAATCCCCAAAGCACACACCCTAATCCCTATAGCCCTTCAAAAATCTACACCCCAAAACCCTCATCCGAAATATGGCTATGCCCCAGGCCTTTCGAAGCTGTGCAGCCGACTCGGTGGCTTGCCTCTGCTCCTCATCCGGTGTACTGCGTTTAGGGTTTAGGGTTGCTTAGATTGCTATTGTTTGTTTGGCTTACGGTTTAGGGCTTAAGCTCTTTTTTTGTGGGTTTCGGTGTAAGGTTGAAAGATTTGTACGGCCTTAGGGCTTTCAACGCTTTTGGGTCTTAGTCTCAGGTTGAGGATTTAGGGCTTCGTTGCTTTTGGGGCTTTCGGGCTTTGGGCTTACGAAGTTCAGGAGTTCGGGTTGCTTTCGGGGATATGCCGTTAATGTAGGGGCCTCAAAGATTAGAATAGGGTTTTTTTGGGGGGATTATCCTACTGTAAATATAATCAGGAATCCCCTAACAAAAACTAGGTAATTACTAAGGCCCCTATATTAGCTGCCTGTTTCGGAAACCCACAAGGCCCCAACAAAAACTGCAATCTAGAGCCCCGAGCCGAGGATAGGCCAGTTAGCGGCTTAGTTCGAGAACCCTAAAGCACTAAAGCACTACACTCTAAATCCCGAAGCCCTAAGCCCCACTTGGAGGTTCATGGATAGTTATACGTGGGTTTAGAAGTCCCCTAATATGGGTCATAACTATAGTTCTCCTACGTTTATAACCTCACTTATAACTGCCCATGAACCTCCGAGCAGAGCCCTTCTATAAACCTGATAGGAACCCTTAAAGATCCCTTAAAGGGAACCCTTGCAGATCCCTGAAAGGAGCTGAGTATTCCGGTATCTCAATTCCTCTCTGCCCTAAACCCTAAACCCTAAACCCTAAACCCTAAAACCCTAAAACCCTAAAACCCTAAAACCCCAAAACCCCAAAACCCCAAACCCTAAACCCTGAAACCCTAAAACCCTACACCCTCTTCTCTGCCAAGGTTCCACCCCGGCATCCTCGGTTTGCCGACACAGCTCAAAGAGATCGGCCTCTGCCTGCAAAACCTCCGAGGGACAAGACTAAGCTAGGGGCCTTAATATTGCGACTAGGGTTTTGGGGCCAATCATACTATAATTATAGTAAGCAACCCCGGGTTAAGGGATACCCCCCCCGCCCAGAGGGACTTTTGTATGCACAAGGGTCGAGGGTCTTAGAGCTTGGTGTAATGCTTGTGTTAGTTAGGGTTTAGGGTATTAGGGTTTAGGGGTTAGAGCTTTTAGGGTTTAGGGGTTAGAGCTTTTAGAGCTTTTAGGGTTTAGGGTAGTGGGGCCGCGGAGGACGCAGGATTCAGGGTTTAGGGCTGGGCAGGAGGGTGGTTAAGTGCGTGACGCTCCTTTAAGGGAGCCTTGTAGGGGTTCCTTTAAGCCTTTAAGGGAGCCTTTAAGGGTTCCTTTAAGGGAGCCTTTAAGGGTTCCTTTAGGGGAGCTGCCAAGGATGGTCCTCATGTTCGGGGCTGTGACTTTGTTGAGGTTTCTGTCACCTGATATGGGTCATAGCTATAGTTATCCTACTTATAACGTTTAGGGTTTGGGGTTTAGGGACCCTGGTTTCATGCGACATGGAAGCTTAGTTTCAGGGCTCTAAGAATCGTACGACCCTGATATACAATGAAGATTTTGAGAACCGTTCCCTCCCTGTTCTTCTTGTTCTAAACATACTCTACATGATGAGCACCTCCAGCATCCAGCTCTTGGGTCAGTATGCATCTTCTCCAAATGATGCAACTCATGCCTAACGGATCAGCTGTTGCATTCAGGTGTCGTCAGCTGTGGGCATAGAAACATTCTGATTTAGAGATCACTAAACCCACAAACCCCAGCTAAAGCCCAAAGCAGGTTCATTAGGTGGCCATGATGCTGGACATGTCGGAGCAGCTGAGGAAGCACCAAGGGTCCAGGTACCTAATAAGCATGTACTTTTCCGATGACTAGCGTCAAAGACTAATATCCTAAACAGTATGCTCATGCGAAAGACAACTATCTTAACCAGAATACCACCCAAAAGACGACCATCCTAAATAGAATACTGATCTAACAGACTACTATCCTAAACATTCCTAAGCCACACTCGGTAGCCAATTAGGTCCGTTGGACCCTCAGCAAAATAAGCCACTCCCTAAACCCTGAACAAAGACACCCGCCTGCCCCTAAACCCTACCATAACCCCAAAGAACCTACCCTTTTAAGGACTAACAAAAGGAAATCATAAAAAGGAACCCTAAATGGTTATTTGGGGTCCAGGTAATCCCGAAATCCTAACCAAAGACACCCGCCTGCTCGCTGGAGTCCGTCTCCGCATCGCACATGTCGCGGCCCAGAGTGTAGAGCCTTGCAGACAGATCCTGGGTTCTTCGCAATGAACCTAGTTGAAGTTACCATCATAGGGATCTTAGTTTAAGTCACCATACAAGAAATCCACCGTAAATTCTATGGTTTCCTAATTCTGTTAACTTAAAACCCTAATAAAACCCTCGACCCCCATAAAAGAGAGCCCAGGATCTGCCACCTGTGCAGCCGCAGTCGCCGAGCGCCCTTGCAGCGCCGCGAGCTCCGGTCGGTTGGGCTTCTGCTTGGTTTGCGCTGCGCGGAAACCTCCAGGCTTTAGGGTTTAGGGCTGAGGGCCCTTAGGGTTTAGGGCTTAGGGCCCTTAGGGTGTAGGGTTTAGGACTGAGGGCCCTTATTAGGGTTTAAGGCTTAGGGCCCTAAGGGTGTAGGGCTTAGGGCATTTAGGGTTTGAGGTTTTGGGCTTAGGGCCCTTAGGGTTCAGGGTTTCGGGCCCTTCGAAGCCTTAGAAGTACTTATGAATAGGTAGCTCTATAGGAAGCACAAAGGGAAATGAAAAAGCTTCCCAAAGCGCCACCTAGAAACCTGCCGCTGCCGCCTGCACGGCTTCCCGTTCCTTCACGTCCCTGCCAGCTTGCAAGGACGCCCGTAGCTCCGCCACTAAGGCATCCTGGTTCATTCTCGGGGCCATATTGAAAATGATCATTTTTAATCCTTAGTAGGGTGTTATTACAACAGAAATGTGAAAAATGTATCCAACAAGGACCCAGCATCCAGGATCTGCGAAGGCACCTCTTCCCTGGCAACCGCTTGCAGCTGGGCTTTGTCCAACAAGCTCTGGACCTTAGGGGCTGAGCACCCAAGCCCAAAAAAAGGTTAACCCTTCAATTATGGTAGGATTATACAAGCCCAAAAAGGTTAAAGGTTACCTACTCAGCTACTAAGGCACAGAGTCCGGAAGGTCTGGGGGCAAAGACGCACAAAGGATCTCCACAACCTCACCAGCTCTGCCGGCTGCTGCTTCAAAGCTCGGCTCCAGTGCACGAAGGGAAGTCATCGCAGACCTCAAAGCACCTCCGAAGCGCTTCGAAGTGGGGTCCCCTTGTAACCGAAACCAGACGTAAACCCACACGGGCCATATCTAAATATCAACAGAAGGCAACCAAACCAGCTACTACGTTTCAGGGTCTTCGGTATACAAACATCCAATGGGTCCAAGTACCGGCATGGTGGATTGTTAGTAGATACAGCGGACACCCATACTGATACTTGGACCCTATACCCTAAAACCCTAAACCCCAAACCCTAAACCCTACAACCCTAAAAGCCCTAAACTTTAAACCCTAAACCTTAAACCTTGCAACCCTAAAAACCCTAAACTCTAAACCCTAAAACCCGAAGCCCTAACTCTTTGGGAAAGCCCACCTCGAGAAGCTTGGAGCTCCGTTTTCAGCTCCCGGCCCAGCGCATGGACTTGCGGATGGTCGGGACCGAGAACAACACCTTAGCGGCTCAAATCAGATTTCTGGGTTCAGGGCTCCAGGGTTTAGGGTTCAAGGTTTCCGGGGCTTTGGGCTTTAATAGGGTTTAGGTTTAAGGTTTCTGGGGCTTTAGGGTTTAAGGTTAATTTTTAGGGTCTTCAATAGGGCGTAGGCTTGGCGCTTGTAGGTATGGGGTATATTGCCATTACGGCGAAAGGCGGATGCTTTCACAAACTTTCAGACCTCTGCTACGATATGCGGCTCACATCTACTGTAGGTGGGTAGTTCTCTAAATTCGGGTCCCCTTTTAGGTCACCAGTATAGTACAGCACTCTTATAAACGGACACTGAAAGGGACCCAAATTAAGAGAACTCCCCAGGTACAGAGCGCCAAAAACCAAGATCCAGAGTAGCAGTTCTGCAGCTGTGTGTATATATATATACACACACATGCAGAAAATCAAAGAATCTGCTTCGAGCCTCATGCTAAGTCTCAAATGCCCCTCGTCTGCTGCCAGCAGTCTCCGCAGATCCCAAAAGCCAGGAGTCCCAAATTCACAAGAGTGAGACGCAATGTAGGGGCCGTAATAATTAGAATAGGGTTTTGGTGTACATTACAGTATAATCATAATAAGAATCCCCAAAACAGTATAGGTCATTAGGAGAGGCCCTTATATTACCGACTAGACCCTGACAGTCAGGGTCCCTCTTCCAATGGCCTTAGTTCCGCACCAGGCCTTCGTGACTTGACCTTAAACACGATCTACTTAAGTCCCAAGTCCATCAACTTGCTCTTCAACCTCTAAAAACGCCCTAAACCCCATACACCCTAAACCTTAAATCCGTCGACCTCCCTCAAACCGAAACCGGAAAGTCTGAAGATCGAAACCCTAAGCTCTCAGAATCTAAACCCCTGAGCCGTAAACCTATACACCCCGGTATAGTGCCCTGAAAGGAACCCCTATAGTACTCTTTACATTATCTTCCCTAAACCCTAAACCCTAAACCCTGTGGTACTATGTACATTATCTTCTATAAAAGACGAAGGCACGGTCTCCCGGCGGAAACTGCGGTAGGTCCCTGCACAGCGCATCGATGTTCAAGCCATCTGTGGCCTGGGACCTTCTCGGGGTGGAGGGTTTAGGTGTTTCGGGCAAACCCCAAACCTTCAGGTTCAGGGGGTTTTTGGAGGTTGGGATTTTGGGGAGTAAGAGTCAGGGTTTAGGGGTTTAGGATTCAAGGTGATCGGGTTTCGGGTTTGGGGTTTGAGTTCTCTTTGGGTCGGCTTAGGCTTCGGGGTTTAGGGCGTCTCAGCTTTGATGGATGTTGATGTTCCGTAAACCCTAAACCCTAAACCCCAAACCCTGCGACTATCGTTATGTTGACTGTCTCAGCTTGCTCTGGTCGTGGTCATCTTCAATATGACCATCCCGTGGTGTAGAAAGGCGACTGGCTTCATTGAGACTCGGTGTGTGTGTGTGTGTGTGTATATATATATATGTGTGTATATATGCACATCAACACACAACACGTGTATACAGGCATGTTTATATATATATATACGCATACATATGCATGTACCCACACTTTGTAGTATATTGGTATGAATGTATGCATGTATGTATGCATGTGTGTATGAATGCGTGTATGTATGCGTGTATGTATGCGTGTATGTATGTATGTATGTATGTATGTATGTATGTATGTATGTATTTATGTATGTATGTATGTATGTATGTGTATGTGTGTATGTATGTGTGTATCTATGTATGTATGTATGTATGTATGCATGTATGCATGTATGTGTGCATGTGTGTATGTACGTATGTATGTAGGTAGGTAGGTAGGTAGGTAGGTAGGTAGGTAGGGAGGTATGTAGGTAGGTCGGTCGGTCGGTAGGTATGTATATAAGAATGCATGTATGTATGCATGTATGCATGTATGCATGCTCATGTATGTATGTATGTATGTATGTATGTATAAATGTATGTATGTATGTATGCATGTATGTATGTATGTATGTATGTATGATGCATTTATGTATGCATGCCGAGATTTACAACGGAATAGCACGTGCACCAGCATGCTACGAAAATCCAGCACCGCAGCTGCATCCCCCAAGCACTTGAAAGCCCCTGTGAAGCCCGGATTGAGAATTTCTCGAACCGATTTCCTGGAGCTCTGTGAAAGTATCAAAAGCCCGGCCTAACACAGGGCCCTTCTCGTGACCCTTGAACAATCCCCTAAAGGAACCCTTCAAGAAACTCGCACCTGAGGCCGCTCAAGATCTCGCGCTGCGTGTCAACGAGCTCCTTGAGGGCGCGCTGCACCCGCGGCAGCTGTTGCCACCTCCCAGATTGAGGTTCCCAGATAGGGTCTACCTGGAGGTTCATGGGTAGTTCATAAGGGTCCAGGGTTGAGGATGTAGAGTTTATGGTCTGCTTGGAGGTTCATGGGTAGTTATAAGTAGAGTCATGTCCCTAAAATTATAGTTATCCTACTCCACCACCACATATAGCTGCCCCTGACTCTCCAAATTTTCTGGCAAAATTGATGCCATCTTAGCTGCCTTGATAACTAGTTGATAGGGTTTACGGCTTAGGGATCAGAATTCAAAATGAGTGTCCGACGTGTGGAGAGACATCTTCTGCTTCTGCCCACCGCATCCCGTGCAATTTTAGTTTTTCAGCCTAGCTATTACAACCCGTATACCCCCAAACCCTAACCCTCAACCCTCAGCCCCTGAACTCTCACTTGAACATTGGGTACTTAGTTCGTTATAAGCATGGTTATAGTAGGGTTAAAAGCCGCCTCATATGCGATATAGCCCATAGTTATCTTCCCTGCTTATAACTCCACATACAACTAGCCATGAACCTCCAAGCAACACTAACATTCCAGCCCTGAACCCGATCCCAACAAAATGGATTCTCTGCGATGCAAAGTCTGGTGACGAAAGACCAAGCCAAAGGGCCCTATAAGTATCTACATACTAGAAAGTAGGGTTTCTATAGTATGAACCGCTCGGACCCTTTGCGCAAGCAATACCTGACAACTCCGAGTTCAGTTTTCAGGCTTGCTGAGGATGATGATTGTGTGCCAAGTTTGATTTTACACACGAGCTATATACATAATATGTGAAATATGGACACATCGTATCCTTCGGATAGCAGCTACAGTAGCAGAGAGAGAATGAGAGAGAGAGAGAGAGAGAGAGACAGACAGACAGAGCGAGAGGGGGAGACATTCAGTTGACTGCGCGTGCGTTTCCATCGTCCTAAGCCTTTTAGAATTTAGACCCCTCGAATACCGCTTCAACAGCTCCCACATCCTCCACCGCGTCCAAATCCCACTCAACCCTGCACCGAAGACTCGCTCATCAGCCATGAGGCGTGCCTCCATGCAGTCTGAGCTGCCGCCTCGGCCACCTGACGGCGAAGTGTTCCGAGGCATCCGACAGCCGCCTGCAGCGACGGGAGGAAGGCCCAATAAGTGCTGACTATCAGGCTAGCTCGTCGAGACTTACTAAAGCCCCAAGCCAAAGAAACTAATCTTCGGGCTTGATGCTTGCATGTCACAAAGATGAAAACGACTGTTCACAAGGGGCGGATGGACAACACGGGTGCGATAGTAAGGGACTCGATTCATTGGAAGATCTGCGCAGCGACTTTCTTTTGAATCGAGAAGTCATGGGGACCAAGGAAAAGATGAAGCGAGAGGCAGAGAGAGAAGCCAAGAACTCTAAAACTCTAAATTGTAAATCGCCTGAGCTGAACAGACCTGTCGTTATCTTTGTGAGAGCTTGCAAAGCGCAAAAGCGAGTGACAG